ACAAACCTCTGTCACCAGCCTAATGGGCACTGGAGACTGTTCTCCTAAGGGATGCCAAACCTCTATCTCAATCCCCTTCACACCCAGGTATGGTGGCCCCGTTGGCTATCAGTGCCCTTTCTTCACCCAAACTAAAGAGTACTGCAAAAAAGGGGCCAAATGGACCCATGAATATGGGGGATGCCCCGATTGGTTTTGTTGGTCCTACTGGGTACTAGGATCAAAGGGACCAAACAACGAATTTCACCTTTATAGGGGACAAAATGGGACCATCGTGGTCCATATCCCTGACCCATGGGACAACAGATGGGTCCAGGGTGAAATGATAGCCCTTTATGCTGGGGGCACTGCCTCCAAACCCTCAGCTCACATTATGATATCCAGGGAACTAACCCTTCCAGTTCCTACACAGAAGGAGGTGGCTACTAAGGTTCTACAATTCGAACAGAACCTACAAAAGTCCCTTCACCAGCCCTCCACCCCCCCAACCTGGCTCCAATTGTTCCAGGCCTCACTACGACTCCTAAACCTAACAGTGCCCATTAATGTCGCTGACTGCTTCTATGTGCCTCCCTCCAGCGGCCTTTACTGGCCACAGTTCGCATTAACATTTCTTCTTCTGTCAAGGCTTCCCCTGCCTTAGGGAACTCCTCATGCACCCCTCCCTTGCCATCAGTACCTCTATGGGCACCTGACTCTACACAAGGTCCCCTTCCTACACACACCTGTTATACCCCACCCTCAATAGCTCAGTCCAACCTTTCTCTCTCCTGTCATATCAACGTCACAGTTACAGCACAACTGGCGTCCCCCTCGGGGCTATATTTCTGGTGCCACAACACCCTACACTCCTGCATAGCTCAGACTACTCCCGGGCCCAGCATACTGGTGATCATAGATCCCCAACTCACTCTTTACGGGGAAGCTGAATTCTCCCTCCTATTTGGCGCTCAACCAAAGTGCACCGCTTTCTTGCCCATCATGGTGGGTATAAGTCTGGCGACCTCCGTAGCTGCCACAGGCTTTGCCGGGGGAGCTCTCGGTCATAGTCTTATTTCAGCAAGGGACTTTGAGGAGCGCTTACAGATCACCCTTGAATCCACCTCAGCCTCGCTGGCCTCCCTTCAACGCCAGCTCACTTCTCTAGCTCAGCCGGCCCTCCAAAATCGCAGGGCCCTAGACCTCTTAACGGCTGAAAAAGGGGGGCACCTGCTTCTTCCTCGGGAGGACTGTTGCTACTATGTCAATGAGTCTGGGATTGTAGAACAAAATGTCAAGAAATTAACAGATCTGGCCAAGGACCTCCTAAAGGGACCCACTAGGAACACCCTAACCGACCTGCTGGACTCTCCTCTCGTCACCCGGCTCCTGCCTTTCTTGGGCCCTTTGTTCATGCTGGTTACTCTCTGCGCCCTCCGACCCTGTTTACTACAGTTCCTCAGATCTCAGGTGAGCAGAATCTCTAACCAAACTTTCAACCAGCTTCTCCTCCAAGGATATCAGCCCCTTGTAGCCCAGCCTGAGGACACCTGCGATGGATCCCACCAGGACCCCGGGTTATGAGCATCATCAACCCCTCACAGAGCGCCTGCTTCGATTCCTCGACTCCTTACGCGAACCAGGAGATATTATGGCTAATATCTGCCATACACAGATATTAGCTCAGATTGGGCTCAGAGGATTGGCTCGAGCCCATTTATGACCTGTGGCTACAAGGGACCTTCATCAACTTTAGGGAAGAAGAAATTTTCATCTTTGAAGCTTGGGTGTTTGCCATTATGATACTCACTACCCCAACATCATTTGCCAACTGACCCTCCCTTCCCCTACCCCGCCCCTTGCCAGCTCTAAGAAGCCAGAGCGAACACAACGCCCCCCTTCCTTAACAAACAAAAAAGGGAGGAATGTTGGCAATAATGGCGTCGATAGGTTTTTGTTTCTTACTGTACCCTTAGGTTTCAATTTCCCAGGACCCTTGGGTTTCAGTTTCCCAGGGTCATAATACCACCCAGCTTAGGACCTCCTTACTTCCCAACCTCCAATCGGCATGGACCAAAGGGCCCTAACCAATCAGATCGGGCCAAATCCCACCAAGGGGTATTTAAGCCCGTGCCCTTCCTGCTTCTCTCTCTCCTGGCTCTCTCCCTCTCCCACCCGGCAATAAAGAATCTCTTGGCCAGATCACTCCTCTCTGTGTGGTCACTTTGGGCCTACATTTGCTTACAGGTTTACCCAAAACACAGGGACAACAGGTGCTAGACACACCCTTTAGGTTTTTTTTTTTTTTAGTGGGACTGGGGTTTGAACTTGGGACCTCACACTTGCAAACCAGGCACTCTACCACTTGTGCCATGCCTCCAGCCCATTTTTTGCTCTGATTATTTTGAAGATGGAGATCTCTCAAACTATTTGCCCAGACTGGTCTCAAACCTCCATCCTCCCAATCTCAGCCTCCCAAGTAGTTTAGGATTACAGGCATGAACCCCAGCACCCAGCTGTGTTTTTGTTGTTGTTCTTGTTTTTAAAATTTTCAGCTTCTTAATATTTAACAGGGAGAAGGCAAGGTGATGGGAGGAGAGCTTAATGCTCTCATTTTTCAGTTCTGCTTCCTGGTTGTTTTAATTTCAGAGTCTGGCCCTTTTGATATTCATTATGTGCAATTTCCCTGTCAGCTCATGTGTCTATCCTGCCTTAATTCCATTTGCGCTTGGAGACTGAGGCTCAATGAGATGACTTGCAGAGATAAAGTGGCAAAGCTCAGCAGGCAGACCATCAGCACTGCCTCCCTTCCATCCCCAAGTGAATCAGCAAGACTGTCCGCTGGATTAGTCACTTTTTCATTGCTGCAACAAATTGCTGAGACAACAAAAGGAGGAAAGGTTTGTTTTGGCTCATGGTTTCAGAGTTTTCTGTCCATGGTTGACCAACGCCATTGCTGTGGGCCTGAGATGAGAACATCGCAGCAGCATGGAGGCCAGGAAGCAGAGAGCCAGAGAGTGAAGAGTCCAGGGACAGTGGCACACCCCAGTGACCCACTTCCTCCAACCAGGGCCCATTGCCCTGTTTCCACCACCTCCCTCTAATGCCATCAAATTGTGAATCCATTAGAGGATTAATCCATTGATTAAGATCAAAGCCCTCATGATTGGATCCACCAGCTGGGGACCAAGTCTTCAATACATTATCCTTTTTTTTCGTTTTATTTTTTGGTGGCACTGGGGTTTCAACTCAGGGTTTCATGTTTGCTAGGCAGATGCTCTACCACTTGAGCCACTAACACCAGCCCTGTTTTGTGGTGGCTATTTTCAAGATACATTCTCACAAACTATTTGCCTGAACTGGCTTTGAACCTCAATCCTCCAGATTTCTGCCTGAGTAGCTAGGGTTACAGGCATGAGCCACCAGCACCCAGCTTTGGTTCTTTTGTTATATATATTTTATATTTTTTTCTTCTTTTTTTTGAAACGGGGTTTCACAGTGTAGTTTAGGTTAACCTGGAACTCACTATGTAGTCCACGTTGGTCTCAAGTTTGAGATCCCCCTGCCTTAGTCTCCCAAATGCTAGGATTACAGGTATGTATCACAAAGCCTGGCTAACACATGAACCTTTTGGGGGACACTGTATCCAAAACATAGTACAGGAATTGTGAAGAAATTCTTCTCTCACCAAGCCATTGTACCGGTTGTTCCCTCTACCTGGAACACCCTCTCCTTTCACCTGAGCATGGTTCTCATCCAAGATGCCATCCTGGAGCCCTAAGCTGGATCAGAAGCCAGACTGGGACTTCTGGTCCCAGTCTCCCAGGTAAAAATTCCCCCATCACAGATTGGATCACTCTGCCTGATCTTCTTAGTCTTGATCATTCTGGGCTCACTCTTGTCTCCCCCATTTTCAGTGCTGAGCTAGTCTTTGTCTTAGTAGGAGCTCAGGAAATTGTTGGTTATATACATAAGAGTAGGTAACTGCAGGAGTGTTCAAAACCTTTAAACCCTACTTCAGACATCAGATGAGGACTGATCCAGAACAGAAACTGGCCAGAGTGCTGGGATGGGGTTCTGGGAACCCCTGGATGGGAGAGAGTTCCAGGCAGTCACTAGTTGCTGAACTATTAAACTAGTGAACTCAAGACCTTGTGCTTGCTAGGCAGGCACTCTACTCTTGAGCCAAGCCTCCAGTCCTTTTTTCCTCTGATTATTTTGAAGATAGGGCCTTGGTTTCTGCCCAGGCTGACATGGATCATTATCCTCTAATTTATGCTTCCTGCCATAGCTGAATGACAGGTGTGCACCACCAACTCTTTTTGTTTGTTTGGCAGTCTGGAACTGCAATCCTTCCTATCTCAACCTCTCAAGTAGCTAGGATTACAGTCATGAAGCCATCAGTACCTGGCTAACAAACTAGTATTTTAATACATGGCAAGCCCTGAATAAGTGCTGTGGCTACATCAGCTTTGGGCATCAGGATCAGAAAGGCAGAGCCTCTGATCTGAGGATGCAGAGACTGCTATTGTACACCCTCTGAAGCTGAACAATCACAGCTGCCCCCTCCCCTGCTTCCTCAGACAGCTGCTGTGATTTGAATAGCCAAGTAGGCTGATGGATGTCCAGTGGTGACTGATTTGCCTGGCAAACAGACCCTCAAGTCCTTGCCCTGCCAGTACTGAGGCCATGTTTCTTTCCTCTCCCCAGCCCACAAAGCTGCCTAGCTGTTTCCCTTTGCTGTGCCTCCCTGGGGGCCCTAGTGCTTGTCTGCGCCAGGATGGAGAGTTCCCTCAAAAGCCTAGGAAAAGGGAGACCAGTAGCAAGCTACAAGGCAGTGGTAACTAGAGCCAGCTAAGGCTGCTTCCCTAGGCCTGTCACAGAATTTGCATGAGAATGAGGTCCCCTTCCACCACTCCCCCTCCCTTCCCAACTGGGATAGTTGTCCTGGGGCAGAGGTTTGACAGCAGGTGGAGGAGGCAGCCTTGCCTGCAAGGAGTCATCCCACTATTCCCAAGGCAATGCCCCGTGTCTTCCTGGTCAGGAGTCGGCGTCCACAGCTGTCTAACTGGGGCCACCTGCCTGACCAGCTCCGGGGAGATGCCTACATCCCAGGTGGGCCCCTCACTGAGCCTGGAGTTGAGAGGTAGGGTAGATCCAAAGCATCACCATCTATCTGGCTTCTCTCTCCAGACTGCAGCAGCCTGGCAGGACCAGCGGGATACCAGACTCCTGGCCTTAGCAGCTCCTGGGCAGCGGTGAGTCTCCAGCTGACCCACAAGACTAGGCTGTTTCACCCCCGAAGGCTCTCAGCCTCAACTGAGGCTGGCTGACCCTTACTCCTGGGCTTATCTGCACCTGCTCTCCAGCCTGAGGAACTCTTGTTCCCTACCCTGTGAGCTGTCAGGCCTTAGTTAAGTCCCCAGAGTGGGCAGCTGCAAACCAAGGGGGGAGGGTTTGTGGGGGCCAGTGGGGTAAAAGAACCGGTTTCTACCCAAGAAGTCAATTTCTTTTCCTTTTCTTTTTTTGCAGTACGGGGTTTGAAATCAGAACCTTGCACTTACTAGGCAGGTGCTCTACCATTTGAATCTTTCCCCCTGCCCTTTTTGCTTTAGTTATTTTTCAATTAGAGTCTCACATTTTTGCTGAGGATCCTACTACCTCCACATTCAGAGAAGCTTGGATTACAGATATGTACAACCATGATCAGCTTATTTGCTAAGGTGGGGGGGGTCTCATTAACTTTTTGTCAGTGTTGGCCTCAAACCTCCACCTCTGGAGTACCTGGGATTACAGGAGTGAGCCACTTTGTCAGTTATTGGACAAGGAAATAGGGATGGAATGGTTAAGGGACATGTGTGCACTGAAGGAAAGCAGCACTGGCCAGACTAGAATGTGCTGTTATTTCAGTGAGAGCCACATGCTGTTGTGGGTACTGGGCAGCAAAAAACACTCCACTTCTTTACTGAGCTAGTTTCTGGTGAGGGCTGGGGCATGGACAGTTATCATTAGGGAAGGACACTGAAGGTAGTACTTGCTATGGAGACCCCTAAAATAAGGTAAAAGGGGTAGGGTTTCTGTAGGGAAGGCCATAGAGACAGGGTGGCAGCTAGACTTCCTAGTCCTCCTCCACTTCAGTCACTCTAAATAGCAGTCTGCAAAGTAACAAAGATGGGGCTAACTCCTGCATCTCTCTGGCAGCACACTCAAGCAACCCTGGCCTCTGCTCCCAGGGGGTCTGGGACCATTGGCTGCCCACTCTGCCCCAAGGCCTTCCCACTGCAGCGTATGCTGACTCGGCACCTCAAGTGCCACAGTCCTGCACGCCGCCACGTGTGCCGCTGCTGTGGCAAGGGCTTTCATGATGCCTTCGATCTCAAGCGCCACATGAGGACACACACTGGTGAGCAGTGGAAGGGCCAGGGAGGGCTGCTGGGCCCAGGCCAGCAGATATGGCATATGAAGTTTCCAGTGTTTGTGTTTGTGTATATGGAGCAGGGGCACAGACCTGGCTGTACTTCAGACCCAGCAGGTGAGGGCAGGAGTCTGGCAAGGGGCAAAGTAAAGATGAGTGCTGGATACAGAATTCAGGTCCCTTTAGAGGGCTCTCACCCTAAAGTAACAGTCAAAGGAACTCCCCCAATTGCTAAGGGTCCCTCTCCCTCCCCCAGGGGAAGGAACTTCCTGGTGAGGGTGGTTGCCACTCAGGAGTCTGGCCAGTGTTTGCACTTTGTGAAGTAGCAAAGAGTGGGTCACAAACAGGAGAGTCTGGTGAGCTTCGAGCAGGGACAGGAAATGCTGTCCCTACAGGAGAGCAAGATGGAAGCACCTTTAGCTCAGAAGCCATTGCCCCTTCTCTCCTCTCTTGTGGGCACCCCATCTTTGCAGGGATCCGGCCATTCCGCTGTGGCGCTTGCGGGAAAGCTTTCACGCAGCGCTGCTCCCTCGAGGCGCATCTCGCCAAGGTGCACGGGCAGCCGGCCAGTTACGCCTACCGCGAGCGCCGCGAGAAGCTGCACGTGTGCGAGGACTGCGGCTTCACCAGCTCGCGGCCCGATGCCTACGCGCAGCACCGCAGCTTGCACCGCACGGCCTGAGACCGCCCTACCCACCGGGTTAATAAACACGGAACCGGGCGCAAGGACCTGCTGTTTATTACAGGTGGAGGCGGGGGGGGGGGGAGGTAGGCTGCTCACTCGGTCCAGCGGTGGCCGCAGTGTGGGGCGGTGCATACGTAGTACAGGCGCATGGCGTCCTGGCAGAAAGGATGCATGGTTACAAGGATCTTGACCCGACGGTCGTGGGACCCTATGAGAGCCCAGCCCAAGATCCGGGGAAGAGCAGGGTCACCCTAAAATTAAGTGTTTCCGCCCCCACGGGAAGGACCAAGCCTCAGGCACCCAGGGAGTCACTCACCTCGGCCCGGGCACTGTGAGACTGGAAGAACACTGCCTCCTTGTGACCACACCTGAGGGGACGGCTCAGTCACTGGGGCTGGACGCCCTTCCCTCCTCCCTCCCTCGCCCGGAGAGAACGCGCCAGCCCCTCCCCGAGGCCAGCCGCGCTCACTTCTGGCACGGGTGGTCCTCGGTCCTTGGCAACGTGGGGTCCTGGGACACGTCGGCGATGATCTGGGTCAGCTCGCTGCAGGGATAGGGAAGTGGAAAACCACGCCTCCCTAGACGACCCCCTGCCCCAAGCCCTGGTCCCGCCACTCACTCCACTTCGTGCGTGATTTTGTTAACGTAGATGCAGCTGTTGTCTGCTTCCTGCTGGTAATCACAGTTCCGGCACTGGGGGAGGACGAGTGGGGCAGGAAAGGGGGTCACAAAGATGCCCAATGGGACTGGAAGGGAGGGTGGGGGGAAGGTTCCGAGAGAGGATGACGGCGGGATGGAGTATCGAGCGAGGTTAGGTATCTCGGGGAGGGACAAGACAGGACTGCGGGTTCACTCGGGGCCCAGTCAAGGGGCAACACCAGGACACGTCGGGAGTGTGGGTCACGTGGGCAGGAGGACGTAGGGAACCCGAGGGCCGGTTGGAAACTATGGGGGCGTCCCGGCGGGCTCACGCTCACCGCGTACAGCAGAATGCGGTTCTCCTTGTCCTCCTTGGGGTACAGCATGTTGTTACTGTGGGGACAGGGAGAGGAGGTCGGAGGTCATCCCTGGGGCCACTCCTTGCTCCCCAGCCACACCTCCTGCTTCCCCCGCCTCACCATTCCTGGCAGAACCGAATACCCACAAAGCCCGGCTCGTAGGTCCCGTCGGGTTCCATAGAGACGCGCCGCCCGCCAAGCCTTCTGCGCTTGCTCGGCCACGCTACAGGTCGCGCAAAGGGTCAGGCCCCGTTGCTGCGCCAAAAAGGGGCGGAGTTGCGCGCGCGTTGGGTACTCAGCGGCCTTGCGCTCCGCTTCCTCGGATCTTGCCTCGGTCTTCTGATGTTCTATAGCAATTGCTTCCAGTTTGGGGACCCTGCCTCCCTAGTTCAGGGGATGGTATGGACCTAGTATTAAAGCGAGAATATGGTGCGCAACGTAACCCACCAGGCGCTGAGCAGAAATCGAAGAAACCATTGCTCTTTGCTAGGCCCTCGGCCATTGCACATGCGCCGAGCTTAACCTACGCAGAGCCAGACAATTCCTGCCACTCCTTCCTCCCCGCTTCACTCTCCGCCCGCCCGCCTTGGCCGTTTCCCGTGTGGCCATTGGAAGAACAGTGAATACGGAAAGCCTCTCCGGAGAGTTGTTTCTGGCTGTAGCGAAGGGGCGACAACGATTGGCGAACCCATCTTGGGAGAGCGTGCCGATTGGTCAGAACTGGGATAAGGGGCGGGGCTTACAGCCCAGAAGCGGCGGCGGCGGCTCGCGGAGCCGGTGTGAGGCGGCTGAACCGGGCTGCGGGCCACGACAGGGCGCGGCGAGATGGAGGTGACGGGAATCTCGGCGCCCACAGTGAACCTTTTCATCAGCAGCTCCCTCAACAGCTTCCGCTCTGAGAAGCGGTACAGTCGTAACCTCACCATCGCCGAATTCAAGGTGCGGCCGTGGGGGTGGGGTTAGGAGGGGCGGGGAAAGGAGAAATGGGGGGGGCTTCCCGAACGTGGGGCGGGGTCTGAGAGCTGGAGGGCGGAGCCTGAGGTTACCTGAGGTTGCAGAGCCCGGGGGAATCTGGCCTTGGGGGGGGGGTGGGGCGGGAGCGAACCTGAGCTTCCAGAGAGCCGGGACGGGGTCAGATGCTCTAGAGAGCCGGGGCAGAGAAGAGGGGGCGGGACTCCCGAAGGAGCAGGCATGGGTGAGGTCTGCGTGCCGGTGGGTCCTTTGGAATGGCAGGGATAGGATGATGGCTGTTGAGACAGAGGTAGCTTCAAGGAAGAGGATGGGCCACTGACTGCCTTTCTCATCCTTCCCTTGTCCCGCAGTGTAAACTGGAGCTGGTGGTGGGCAGCCCTGCTTCCTGCATGGAACTGGAGCTGTACGGAGCTGATGACAAGTTCTACAGCAAGTTAGATCAGGAGGCTGCACTGCTGGGCTCCTATCCCGTAGATGATGGCTGCCGTATCCATGTGAGGCCACCCTGTCTGGGACCCCATTCATTCATTTATTCAGCAGATTCTTGCCGTGCTTTGCCCCATGTGATAACCAATATTGGTCCTACCCTCATGGAACCCCCAGTCCAGCATGGTGAGAAATGGACCATCACTAGACAGGGACAGCCTAGAGTTATCTGGGCTAGGTTAGCGAAAGCTCAGGGGACTGGGAGCATCCGGAACTGATGCCTGACTCCTCCTGGAACTACCAGAAGGGACTTCCTGGAGGAATAGATGTCTGAGCCGAGCCCTGAAGGATAAGAAATGGGGTGACCTAGGAAAAGAGGTAGAAAGGGCATGCCAGGTGGAGAGAATATGTAGAGGCCTAGAGCTAAGATGAGCTATGGTGAGCAGTGAGGCTGGAAAGGTTGGGAGAAGCCAGAACACAAAGGAACTCTGAACATCAGTTCACATCATCCTTTCTGTCCTCAACCTCCTTCCCGTCCACCTCTTCTGCACCAGCCACATTGCTACTTATACATCCCAGGTGAGCTCCACCTTAGGGCCTTTACATATACTGTATTATATCTCTACCTGAATCATTTTCTTTGTGTGTGACCATATGGCTTTCCCCTTCCTTCCAGTCATTTCTTAAAATGTCACATTCCAAATGACACATTCACTGACCCTCATACAAAATTTTAAGCTCATACCTATCTCCTTTTTATACTGTTATTTTACATTTTTTCCCTTTGTTAATACCACTCTCTGACATATTATGGATTTTTCCATTGTTTGGTTTATTCTGTCTCCCTGATTAGAGTGTCAGGAGGACAGAAGTTTTCCTCACTCTAGTTCACTAATGCATCTCCAGCACCTGGAACAATGTCTGCCACAGAGAGGTTACTCAGGCCAGCACCCAGGAGGCTGAGGCAGGAGGATCTTGAGTTCAAAGCCCTGTCTTAAAAGAAAAAAAAAAAAGGGAGTATAGCTAGTGAATCATTGTTGAATCTGTAAAATAATTACCAGAAAGAGGGTATGATTAGCTCCACTTTGCAGAGGAGAAAACCTAGCTTCAGAATGGAATTTGCTTTCTTAAATGAGGGTCACAGATGTAGTTCAGTAGTAGTACCTGCTTAGTATGCATAAGGCTCTGGGTTCCATCCCTAGCACTGCAACAAAACAAAACAAAATGGCCAGGTGTAGTGGCACATGCCTATAATCTTAGCACTTGGGAGACTGAGGCAGGAGGAGTTCAAGGCCAGTCTGGGCTACACAACAAGACCAGAAGAACTGTCACTGGAATTTTGATCTCAGTTTGCATTACTCCAGAAGTCATGGTGCTCAAAGAACTGGGTTTTTTTTTTTTTTTCTTTTTTTTTTTTGCCTTGTTCTCTCTTTCATTTATTCAATAACTACTCATGGAACAGCTGTGTTGGGCCAGGGATATAACAGTGAACCACTTCTTAGAAGACATGGAACAGCTGTGTTGGGCCAGGGATATAACAGTGAACCACTTCTTAGAAGATCCCTGATTTAGCTCCAGCCAGTGTTGTGAGGTAGCATCACCTAAATGATCACTAAGTGTGAAGGCTTTGGTGAAGACAAGGCCCATGCAGGGTGATCATGGAGCTGGACGACCCCATGCTGGGGAATCTGAACTGTCAGTGAGATCTGAGGGGACTGCCTGCAGCAGGTGCTGCCTGAGCAGAGACCTGGAGAGTAGAGTTAAGAGGGGAAAAGGTGCCCTGGGAGGAGGGCACCTTTCACAGCATGTGAAAACACCCTGAGGCAGGAGGGAGCACAGAAGTGCCAGGGACGGTGGGGAGGACTCAGCCAGGAAGTCCCTGCTCTGACTTGTGTTCATAGGCTCATTTGGACTACAGGCGGGGAGCAGACTGGAGAGCAGGAGTGGGGAGGAGGTTGCTGGGACAGTTCACATAAAGTGACAGTGCCATGGAAGGCTCGGATTAGGACTTAGGTGTGGGCAGTGATGCCCTTAAACAGAAGGCTCTCATGCTCCAGTTGTTCCGGTACAGGCAGGCCCCTGACATCCCAGGCTTTTCAAGGAATATGGTCCAGAGGTAGAATCTCAGGGAATTTGGTGTGTGTGTGGGGGGAGGGTACTAAAATTTTCTTTTCTGTTGATAAATATCAGCCACATTTACTGCCCAAATAGCACATCAAACTTAGAAAAATCCCTGATGGTACAATTGTGAATTGGAGGCCAGCCTAGGGTACATGGTAAGATCCTGTCTTCAAAAACAACTCTGACATAAAAAAACAGATCACTGACCCAGAGATAAGTTCCGTGTCCACCTTGCCTGGAGGTTCACACCAAATTCCTTGAGGTTGTTCTAGACCTTTCTCTTTCCCTTATACTCACATCCAATCTGACACAAAGCCTGTCAATTCCACCTACAAAATCTGTCCAGAATTTACACTTTCCTCCTCTTCCACCCTGGCCCAGCCTCCATCCCTTCTCCCTGGACACCCAGCAGTCTCCTCCCTGGCCTCCTGCTTCCCCCGTCCCTGTCCCTCAGTCTGCAGCCAGTGGGAGCCTATGTACCCATAAGGCATGTGAGAGCCTTCTCTGCATCTCACTCCAGATAACCCCTGAAGTTTCCAGCAATCTGTGTGTCTTCCACTCCCTCCAAGTCACTCCACCCATCTGCACTGGTGCATTGGTCTCTGCTCCTCCACAAAACCAAGGACATACCTGTTTGGCCATTGTGCCTACTGTTCCTTCTCATCCTCAGGCCTTGGCTCCCACATCCTGGAAAGCCTGCCATGACCACACCCCCTTGCCCTTTCTCTCATCTCTCTTCTAGTTTGCTCCCTAGCTCTCCGTCATATCATCTAATGTTCCGTACATGTATCTGTTCATTTGTTTATGGCTGGTCCCCCCCCAGCAGAATGAGCAATGACTGACCAGACAGCAGGGCGTATCTGTTTTTGCTCTGTGTCCCCACCACCCAGTGCAGGTCCCACAAGCACCTGGATGAGCTCTGTAAGCAGCAAGTAGGCGAATGTTTGGAGTGGTGCAAGACAAGATAATTCTGGTTCTGGAGGTGGGGATCAACGTAGGAGGGTCCCAAGGGCCCAAGACCCAGAAGGCTGTGAACAGGTTCAGGGACATCAGTAATATTGATGTCATCTGGGGACAAATGCATCCTCCAGGGGCTTGGATGGGGGTGATGACAAGGAGATGGCCAGTGTCCCTTCTGCTAGGCAGAGGAGAGGAAATAAGATGGATAAAGGTGAGGATGGAGGAACATGGCTTCTCCCACAGCGGGGGAGACCTGAGTCTACAGAATGCTCCAGTGTGCATGTGCATCCCAGCACCCCAGGCTTCCCTGGCCAGACCTTGACCCTCACTGGCCTCCATCCCCTCCCCACAGGTCATTGACCACAGCGGTGCCCGCCTTGGGGAGTATGAGGATGTGTCCAAAGTGGAGAAATACGAGCTCTCACAAGAAGCCTACGACCAGAGACAGGGTGCGTAACGCACGGGATGGCCTGGGTGGGGCCCTTGGCGGTGGCAGGGAGGTCAGTAGTGTGGGCAGTGGGGAGAAAGAGGCTTAGCGGATGGGGGAGGGGACAGATGGGCATGGGAGAGGAGTTGAGGTAGACAGGGCATGGAGTGGGATTGGGGGCTGGGCAGGGAGGTGGGGGCTTAGGAAGGTGGAGAAGAGGTTAGGGCAGCCTTCAGTGTCATTTAGAGGCCTGGGATGGAGTGAGCAGGGTGTGAGGCAGAACATGCTAGATGTGGACAGGGCAGTGTGACTTGATCAGAGCAGGCATCTGGACAGATAGGATGTGTGGTGGGAAAGACTGGGTTCCAAGGGCCCAATGAAGGTAATGTGAGACTTGAAGGACCTGTGACAAGAAAGGCAGCACCCTTTCAGTTTCTGCGTGCTAGGAACCTCGAGTCCTGGGAGAGGGAAAGCTGTGATGGGAGGCTGGTGGGGCTAGGGTGACAGCTGGAACATGAGTGTCTCCATGAATGTCGGCCCTGGGAGGGGGCGTTAGCTCCTGAGGCCAGAGACTGGGTCTAACCCTCTCCACCACCCTGCCCGCAGGCACAGTCCGCTCCTTCCTGAAGCGCAGCAAGCTAGGCCCGTACAATGAAGAGCAACGGGCACAACAAGAGGCCGAGGCCGCCCAGCGCCTTCACGAGGAAAAGGCCCAAGCCAGTGCCATCCCTGTGGGCAGCCGCTGTGAGGTGCGGGCACCGGGGCAGTCCCCTCGCCGGGGCACTGTCATGTATGTAGGTATGTGGTCCATGGGTTTGCAGGGTCCCGAGGCTGAGAGGGATACCATTTGTCCATTCAGTAGAGTCTCAGACCTCTGCTTTGCCCTGGGATGGGTAGTGCCTAGGGCCTGGCCTCAAGGAGATTCCAGTCCAGAGAGGAAGACAACCTGGGGTGTTGGGTGGACTGGGGGGAGTAGAAGCACAGATACAATTCCTGTCCCACACTCTTAAGTGTGCAGCTCATCAGCTGTTTTGCAGTGCTGGGGATTGAACCCAGAGCCTTGCACATGGTAGGCAAGACCTTCATGTGCAAAATTGTGCCACATCACAAAAGTCATTTTTTATTTTTATTTTTTGGAAGTACTGGGGTTTGACTTGGCCTCACACTTGCTAGGCAGGCACTCTACTACTTAAACCACAGGTCCAGTCCTTTTGCTTTAGTTATTTTTTGGATACGGTCTTGCATTTTTGTCCATTCAGTCTAAATCAAGCTCCTCCTTATTTACACCTCCCAGGTAGCTGAGATGACAGGTATGTGCCACCACACTCAACTATTGGTTGAGATGGGGTCTTGCTAACATTTTCCCCAGGCTCACCTTAAACTATGATCTCCCACTCTTTACCTCCCAAATATCTGGAATTACAGGAGTGAGTCATCACACCCAGCCCTTACTGTTCTTTAAGACGAATTCTCACTAGGTAGCCCAGGCTGGCCTCAAACTCGTGATTCTCCTACCTCAGCCTCCCAAGTGCTAGGATTATAGGCGTGTGCTACCACGTAGCACCTCAAGTCAATTTTAGGACATTTCTGTCTCCCCCAGAGAAAACCCTATAATTACTATCATCCACTACGTTTCTAAAGCACCACTTCCCCTCCTCTAGCCAACCAGTAACCTACATTCTTCTGCTGTAGATTGGCAAAAATCTACATGTTCTGCATGTTTCCTTAAATAGAGTTGTACAACATGTGGTCTTTTGTGATGGACTGTATTCATACCACTGACGTGTTCAAGGTTCATCTGTGTCATACATGTATCAGTGCTTCATTGCTGCCAAAGAAGATTGCACTGTCTAGATAGACCACACTCTGTTCATTTATCGGTGATGGACATCTGGGTCATTTCTACATTTTGATTATGAGTAGTGCTGTTAAGAACATTCCTGTATATGTGAAATATTTTCATTTCCATGGTAACTTTGGCTTACCCTTATTTTGCAGGGTATGGGAGAAAGGAAGTATTGGGGTTTGAACGCAGGGCCTCTCACTTGCTAGCCGGGCACTCTACCACAGCCCCAGCTCTGTTTGCTTTCATTAGTTTTCAGATAGGGTCTCGTGCTTTTTGCCCAGACTGGCCTCATTCCAAAATCCTTCTACATACGGTTCCCACATATCTGGAATTACAGGCATGGACCACTTCCCCAATGTGCTTGTTGACATGGTACCCTGATAACTTTTTGCCCCAGCTGGCCTCAAACCTGTGTTCCTCCTCATCTCCACTTCCTAAGTAGCTAGAATTACAGGAGTGAGCCACTGAACCTGTCCGAGTTGTTTTTCTTGTGGTACTGGGGCTTGAACTCAGGTCCTACACCTTGAGCCACTCCACCAGCCCTTTTTTGTGATGAATTTTTTTGAGATAGGGTCTCGAGGACTGTTTGTCCGGGCTGGGTTCAAACCACGATCTTCATGATCTCTGCCTCCTGTGAAGCTAGGATTATAGGCATGAGCCACCATAACCTGGCTCCGATTTGTTTTTCTTTTTGTTGACTGTCTCTTAGTTTGCTAACACAAGTACTACCTATGGGGCTTATACAACAGAAATTGATTTCTCACTGTTCTGGAAGGTAAAAGTCCAAGGTCACACTGTTGGCAAGTCTGGTTTATTCACTGCTACATTGCTACAGAGGTCTCTGTGTGTGAGCTCTTATTTTTTATTTATTCTTTTTTTTTTTTTTTTGGTGGGACTCATTGCTATGCACTTGCAAAGCAGGCGCTCTACCACTTAAGCCCCACCTCTAGTCCATTTTTCTCTGGTTATTTTGGAGATGGGGGTCTCATGAACTATTTGCCTGGCTGGCCTTGAACCTCGATCCTCCCAATCTCGGCCTCCCAAGTAGCTAGCATTACAGACATGAGTCACCAGCACCAAACTGCATACAAATCTTGTTTCTGAACGTCAGTCTGTTTCTTGTGTGACCTGTGTTCGAGTGTGAGAGCACATCTGTGCCTCTCTCTGAGGCAGTGTGGCTCTGTGTCCCCCTTAAGTTCTTACAGAGGCTGAGTGAATGGGGATGGCATGGGAGGGAACAGAGAGGCAAGTGAAGAGTTTGCCATCTTGGTCCATGGATGTAGCAAGAAGTGGTTTTCATTAGGACAGGCTTTCCATTTGACAGGCAGCATTACTAGGGGAGTGATTGATGACCATGTCCAGAGATTTCACTGGGATTTCTCCCTGGGCAGGACTCACAGATTTCAAGCCTGGCTACTGGATTGGCGTCCGCTATGATGAACCATTAGGGAAAAATGACGGCAGGTAAGTATTCCCGCTGAGGCACCTGTGTGTGTGTGTATGTGTGTGTGTGTGCATGTGTGTGCACGCACACATACGTGCTATGTACGTGGAAGCCCATGCACACTGCTGGGTGAACCTGCCCATTTAGCATGAAGAGTGGGAGTCATGTGGAGTCCTGACCACTGCCTTCCCATCATACCCTACAGTGTGAATGGGAAACGCTACTTCGAATGCCAACCCAAGTACGGTGCCTTCGTAAAACCATCACTTGTGACAGTAGGAGATTTCCCAGAAGAAGACTATGGGTTGGACGAGATGTGACACCCAAGGAAGGGCATCTCCCTGCTCCAGCTCCTGACTCGGCCACTTGTTGCCCACCCCTGTGCGTATACCCATGGCTGTTTTTCCCTGACCCCATTGTAATTTTATTCACCTTTCACCTGCCATTGATTTTTCAGACTTACACATTAAATTCATCAGAAACTGAGGAAGTACATGGAGGACTCTGATTTGGGGAGGGGAAGCTGGGGAAATGAGGGAAGCGAGGGTCCTTGGCAAAGTAAAAGTAGTGGTAGCTGGAAGCTATGAGATTGTTCTTTGTCCTTTGCTACTTTGTTCTGCTGCTGTAACACATAGGGCCAAAACATACTAGCTTAAAGAAGATGAAAGGTTAATTCTTTTGCACGTAAGTCTTACGTCTTCACCGGAGGCAAGATAGTGTCAGCAGCCAGTCTCCATCTCTACATGTCTTATTGCTCTCCCATTCTCATGATTCCCACCTCATCTGCTCCAGCTACCAGGAAGAAAAGAGGAGGGGAAACCCTTTGCCTTTAAGGAAGATGAACAACTCACAACTTATTCCTAGCTCATTGACCAGAACTTTGTCATATGGCCACATGTAGCTGCAAAGGAGTCTGGGAAGTGTAGTCCTTATTTTGGGCAGCCATGTCCTCTGCTGAATGTCAGAAATTCCTGTACTACAGAATAGGTGGACCTGCCTCATACTCTGAGGTGAGGGACTGTACGTGCTATTTCATATTTTAAAGAACTAGAAGCACCATTAGCATGAAGCTGCTCTCCATAGTATTCTAGAATCTGGCAGAGAACACCATACTCTCAGGTATGTGATGTGTGGCACCTGTGTGTTCAGGGGGGAGCCTGAACCCCATCATGCATGTGTCTACATGTATAATCACAGTCCCTCAGGAGCTCCTGGAAGGAATTCCTGGTAGGATGACTGTTCGAGGGACTACCTAATTGTTGTAGTTGATTAATTATAACTTCTGGAGAATTGGGAAGCAGTGGCAGGAACACCAGAGTAGAAAGAAGGAGGTGGGGGTGGGGAGCCCTCGCATCCACACAGAGCCTGATGCTATGTGCTCTGATACCCGCCACGAAGCACACAGATACACTTCCGGACTCACACTCAAACATGGGACACCCAGTAACATGCAGATTAACACCTGGAAGCCACACACAAACACATACACTTAGAGACTGACGTCAAATACAGAATATACCTACAGCTGGGCGCCAGTGGCTCACGCCTGTAATCCTAGCTACTCAGGAGGCAGAGATCAGGAGGATCGCGGTTCAAAGCCAGCCCAGGCAAATAGTTCATGAAACCCTATCTCGAAAAACAATACAAAAGGCTGGTGGAGTGTTTCAAGGTGTAGGTCCTGAGTTCAAACCCCAGTACCGCCAAAAAAAAAAAAGAATACACCTACAGAACATACCCCACTCAGAAAAATTAAGTCAATGTACCAAAAAAAAAAAAAAAAGTTTCTTTGGCCCACTATTCTTTTGGCTCTGTTCCTTTTGAGCCTGTGGCAAGACAGAGTATCATGCCTTGGCTATGGCAGGGAGCCCATAGCAGAGAAAAGCAGCTTACTTCTTGATGGCCAGGAAGTAAAGAGAAAAAGGCAGGAAGCAGCAAGGACCCCACTATCCCCTCCAAGTACACACCCCCAGTGACCTAACCTCAAGCTAGGCCCCACCTCCTCAAGGCTCCATCACCTCCCAATAGCGCCACAGGCTGGCAATCATACCTTTAGCATATGGGCCTTTGGGGAACAGCTAAGATCCAAACCACAACACATACCAAACTAAGTTCAGCCAGAGACTCCAGCAGAATTAGCACTGAGGCCCCGAGACTCACATTAAGCTCAGGCTGCAGAGGTACTCCCATAGGATTGTAATGGGCACTTGGAAACTGCTTTGCTGATGCCTTTTCCCTTGAGTGCACAAGGATAAAAACCTTGCATCCCAGCCTTTATTTTGCCTCTGTCTTGTCTTAAAACTTTGGGGCAGATTCAACTCTGCACATAGGTGTGTCTGTCTAAGGACTGGTGATACCTAACCTATCTTATCCCCTTTCCATGCCGAAGGCACAAAAATAAGAGTAATTGAGGCATCTTTCTTTGGCTTTTTGGCGGCACTGGAGTTTGAACTCAGAGCCTCATGCTTTGCTAGGCAGGCACTCTTACCACTTGAGCCACTCTGCCAGCCCTAAATGAGGCATTTTATAATGCCAGCTTTTACAATGTCTTGTTCCAGAAACCTCCAAAAAGGCATCTGAAAGTCTCCAGTCACTGTCCTAATCCTGCAGTCACCATGGATTCCAGGAAGAGTAAAGCCTTGCAGAAAGATCACCCCATGATGAAATCTCTTCCAAACAGGGGCAGTCATTTCATGGGAACCAGATTGTCCCCTGCAAGTATTAAGGTCTTCAGAGGTACCAGAGAGGAGGGGGATGGTGGTCAGTGTGTTGGCATAACACTAGCTGCTGTAACAAATACCGCTTCCCCACCGCCATACACACACAACCCAATGGAGATGTTCTGGGTGGTCACCAGCAACCTCAGTGCAGTTATTCACACACCAGACTCCATCTTTGGCTTGATCATTTCCTCAAGCTTGAAATTACCTGGTTTCCACTGATACATGGGAGGGAGGAGGTGTGGAGAAGGTTCTCTGTATTGTTTTAAAGTCTGCTGTGGAGGTGAGGCACATATTTCACTTCTCATCTTGCATGGGTGAGAACTCATCAGTCACGTGGCCCTGTAGATGTAGTACACGTTGAACACGCTTCAGAGCTTGGCAGCCCGCCTCATTCATTCCTATTAAAAAGAGGACCATACACTAGCTATTCAGGAGGCAGAGATCAGAAGGATCGTGGTTCAAGGCCAGCCTGGACAAAATGAAAGCAAGCCCCTATTCTCAAACATACCCAACATAAAAAAGGGCTGGCAGAGTGGCTCAAGTGGTAGAGTGCCTGCCTAGCAAGCGTGAAGCACAGAGTTCAGTCTCCACTACTGCAAAATAAATATTTAAAAAATTTAAAGAGAAGCATGGATGTTGGCGTCCCCACCACTGACCACCCTTTACTGGTCATTCGATCCATAAGCTCAGGGGAAGCAGCAGACAGGAGCTTTGGGTTTCTCTCCTGCAGACCAGTTCAGTCTTCCTGCCAACAACTGACCAGCACCCATCCACCAAGCCCCTTCTGAATTTAACCCTTTTGAGAACAAAGTGAACCTCACTTGGTTTCATAAATCCTCTGATCAGTGCAGATGAAAGACAGTGAATGGCCAACACTTTCCTCACATTTTGTGTGTGTGTGTGTGTGCACGTGCACACGCACCCATGGTACTGGAGTTTGAACTAAAGTGCCTGCGCCTTGAGCCACTCCACCAGGCCTTTTTTGTGAAGGGTTTTTTCAAGATAGGGTCTCCTGAACTATTTCCTTGGGCTGGCTTTGAACTGCGATCCTCCTGATCTCTGCCTCCAGTGAAGCTAGAATTATAGGCGTGAGCCACCAGCACCAGGCTTTCCTCACATTTTTTAAACTATGTTTTTAAGCCCCCACTGAATATTAGGTCTGATGCTGGAAGTGAAACTGGAGTTTTAGGCCCCAGGCTCAAATTCCTGAACCTCCACATGCCAGGTCCGGCCACTGGTCCATAAATGCCAAATAAAGAGACATGGTAAAGGACAGAGAAAGATTTATTACACAGAAGGGGCAGCCACAGTAGGGGCCAAGTAAAAACTTCAGCCCATCTTCAGCCACCTTCAAGACACAGACAGCAGCCTTAGGTTTAAATAGAGAAAGAACTGGGGCAGGGGGAGAAGGGTGTGTGTATGTTCTCCTGGGTTTTGGAGACATTATTACTGTCATCACTTGAAGAGAGCAATCTGGTTCCCAAGAGATGATGACTCCTGCTCCATGGTGCAGTCTCATCATTACAGGTAACTGCCCTCATTTTGGGAGTGATCTGTGTCCTGCAAGGCTCCGCTGATCCTTTGGGGTAGTTTTAATCCTTTGTAATGAAGATGTTATGGATCAGTCCCGTCCTTCCTGGAGCCCAAGGTGATTGCAAAGGGAGTGCAGAGAGAACGATTTAGAGCAAAGACAGATACAGAACAGAGGCAGGAATTCCAAGCTTTTCTCCTGCTTTTTAGCTAATTCCTGGGTCCCAGTAAGGAGTCAGTGCTTTTTGGCAAAAGCAGTTTAAGTTACAGGAACACACCCATGAATTGAGAGTTAAAGGCAGACAAGTACAAAGATAATTACTGAACATTGATTTTTGTTGTTGGGTGTTTTTTTTTTTTTTGGGTAGTACTGGGGTTTGAATTCAGGGCCTTGTGTTTGCCAGGCAGGTGCTCTACCACTTGAGTCATACCCCCAGCCCTTTTTGCTTTATGAATTTTCAAATAGGGTCTCACATTTATGTCTAGGTGGCCTGGACCCAATCCTATTTATGTTTCCTTCAGAGAGGGGTTGATGGCACACACCGGGTTTTTTAAAGGGGGGGGTTGCTGAGATAGGATCTCAAAAACTTTTTGCCCCAGCTGCAATCCTCCTGATCTTGACCTCCAAAGTAGCTGGGATTACAGGTATGAGCCACTGCACCTTGCTGGGGGTTTTTGTTCTTTGTTTTTAATGATATCCTATTATTAATAAGGTTGGTGGCAGTCAGTGAGGAAAAAAATCACCGAATCTGAGGCCTGTGTAGTGGCACACACCTGTTATCCCAGATAGGAGGTGTTAATAGGAAGATTGAGATAGAGGCTGGCCTGGGCATAAATTATTCAGAAAATAAATCAGAAAAGGCTGGGGGCCATGGCTCAAGTAGTTGAGTGGCTGCCTGGTAAGCCAAGGTCCTGAGTTCAATCCTCCCCCCCCAAAAACAAATTTACCAAAATCTGCCAGGAAGGGATGGAGGGACATTTGGTGATTTATGCTGACCTGAGTCCAATGCTAAGCAAACATACTGAATGCAGCCTTCGCTTAGATCGGGGCTAAATCGCTAATTTAAGGATTCCCAGCTAATAACGGCTTCTTAAATTGTTTTTTGTGCCGATTACAAACGGGATATGGGACTAGTCAGGAGAGATGTAATTAGCAATAGTCTTAATGACGAGGAGCGAAGGCCCTGGAGCCGGGAAGCCCAAGTCAAACCCCCGGCTCTCCGACCAGCAGCATTCCTATAGGGCGAGCGATGCCAGTCCCTGTCGGAGAGTTAAATGAGCTGATACAAGCCACGAGTGCCCGGCCCATGGGGGAATGCTTACTCGTTACGAATTAGCTGCAGTGCAATAACGTGTTCTATGCAGCCCACAGTAACCGCGCGGGCTGCATTT